CGTGGATGTTTCACGGAGTTCTAAAGCTCAAGGAAGTCTTTAATCAACTCCATAGAGACTCTATAATAGATTTAGGGTGGAGTTGATGTCGGCATAAGGGGATTCACGAAGTTTCGGTTTGGCCGGATTATACCAAGCTTTATTCCGACCACTTCCTGTCGATTTTAGGTCCCCAAATAGGTAAGATTGTGTTCTTCTAGTTGAGAGCTTCAAATCCGTATAAAATTCGTGAATTTTAGTTGAAAAATGAGTGAGATATTAAAGTTTTAAGATTTTCCAAAAATCGACAACACAAACGGCGGCCGGCGGTGGCTCCGGCGAAGCCACCGGAGAAGGAGGAGAATATTCCGTCAACTTTGACACGTGGTGTTGAGTAGGCCATGATGGTATATTCAAATACCCCAATTAAGCAACGTATGAGAAGTTATTACACGGTTTTGGTAATGTGCTTAAAATTAACGTTAAATTAGCTGTTTCGCATATAGGTGAGACATTTCTGAAGGACGAGCATAGCCAAGTGAGACTCGGGGGTTACAACCCTGCTACATACCAGTGAGTGGGCTTTTGGTTTTCTATATATACGTATATATGCTTTACATTTTCCCAGAAACTGTTTTAAACGAGCGTATTCTTTTAGATGCCATGTCATGCTTGCATTTTATTTTATTATATGCATTGGTATGTATATACATACTATTGTATGACGCTGCGGAGGCCAGGTAAGTTTCAGGTGAGTATTGTATGATGTTAGTGGTTGCATTGGTTATGGTTAGACGTAGAGGCATGTAGAGCTCATTATCCTGCACCCCGATGTTAGTGCTCCCACCCGTGGCCATGGCACAGTCCTTCACATGATGTTCACCTCCCGCACCGCATGCTCACCTTGGATCCAAGTTTGGTGCACGGCCCTGTTGTACAGACCATATTAGGTGGTTCCAACTCGTAGATGACCCGTGATTATTCGCACAACCTTCACGTGATCGTAGCACTTGAGCGTACTTATTTACACCCAACCTTGTCGTACAGACCACAATATGTGGTTTCGACTCTTGTGCAGGCATATATGATGAGCTATAGGTTCATCCGTACAGGTCACATTAGATGACTCCGGCTGACATATCATTTATATTGATTTATTTCACCTAGCTTACTTATTTCATTGCTAAGATACTTGACATGGCATATACTCGGTTTTCATTACTCTCGAGCATGATTTTTACATACGTATGTATTACTATTTTCTAGGAAATTATACGGGTTTTACGGTGAAGGGTTATTATTTTTGGAAAGTGAAATGGTTTTAAAAAGCTTTGTTTTTGCCTACTCACGTTTTCTGTTTTGCTCCCCTCCAGGTTCTAGTTAGAAGTTCGTGTTGATGGCTTACGAGGACTCTACGGTGGTTCTAACCAACTTCAAATAATTTAGGGATTTCTTTCGTGCCTTGTATAATTCTTACCTAGCTAGCTGGACTGCATCTAGGTTACCTATGCTCTGAATATGTGTATCTACACTTTAAATACCTTCACTCGCATTTTTATACTTGACTAGTTTAACTTAGCTAGTTTGGTTTTTATTTACTCACATTTTCATATCACTGTCACTTCCACACTGCACACATGGCTACGTCATCCTCACGTGACTGCCACATGCCTCGATTTAGGTCGGGGTGTGTCAAAGACTTCATATTTTTTTATTGTTTTAGTGATTTTGACGACATCAATAATTATTTAATCTTACTTTTGCTGCGTTATTCAAGTTTCTATGTTCATATTCATCTTTTAGGGATCACAGAGATTACATGAATTAAATATCTAAAATTACCATCAAATATTAAAAACGGACGACATGGGTTTTAATGGTGGAATTGAAAACAACCCACATATGCTTTAAATCCCAAGGGGCATCTTTTGTCAAAATTCCAATCGGCATTTTTTGTCCAAATTAAAAGCTTTATAAGATTTGAGAAATGTGAGGTGTATAGAAAATATGGGGTGCATGTAGAAAATGTAAGGTGTATTGTGAGAATGTGGGGTGTGAGGGTACTATATGGAAGTATGTGAGGTGTATTAAGATGATTTTTAATTGAAAAAGCAAATGTTAGGTGTTTTAAGTATATAGGATTTATTCAACAATTTGTGGGGTGTTAATATAATAAACCTTATTTTTTAATAATCTCGAGCTAAACATTTAACCCATAAAAATTGGAACAAAAAAACTGTTTTTGAGTTAAAAATTTTAAATTTTACATTGTCTCACTGTCACAGAAAAGATGTCTTTTGGCATCGGTGTCCAAATTGCAATTTATATTTTAAAAAATGGTTGACTAATTCCATGATTAATACCACATGCTTTGGGTGAAAATTAATCATTTTGCAATCCCAGGAAGTTCCACAATCTTCCGCATCAATCCAAGAACTTGAGTAACGATCCATCTAGAAACTTGAGTATATAATTAACAGATCTTCCCTGATTCACCTGCATAACGATACCACAAAGAGAGTCAATCTTGAGTTTACAAAAACAGAAAATAAAATATAAGAACTGGAAAATTAATAACTTAACGAAAGTTGGAAAATACAAACAATATTTCAACACTTACGTTTGTTACTCCCAAATTTCGTAAGTGGGATTCTCGTAGGTCTTAGGCAAAGCATGTTGACTACCTTTCAGTTCTCGCACATCTATAGCTCAACATCCACTTGATCTTTTCCATCTTGATGCATGTGGTTATTTCACCTTGCAGGAAAATATGTTGTTATGTCTACCATCGTTACATTTAAAGGAATGGTTGAAAATCGGTTGACTCGAACAATTAAAATTATGCAAACTGATGGTGGTGGTGAATTCACTAGCAATACTTTCTGCACTTTTCTACGTCAACATGGAATCACTTAATAACTTATCCATATACTCCCCAACAAAATGGCATCGTTGAAAGAAAGCACCGTCATATTGTTGAAATGGATCTTTGTTTACTTGCCCAATCCCATCTTCCGTCCTCATTTTGGATGGAAGCTTTCACCACGGCTGCCTTTCTAATTAATCGGTTGCCTCTCCATAAGATTGGGGATGTCTTACCGTATGAAAAGTTATTTGACAGGACATTGGATTATCAATTCTTGAAGGCATTTGGTTGCACATGCTTTACTCATATGATTCCCCACAATTCTCATAAGCTAATGCCAAAATCCATCAAATGTCTTTATTGGCTACGATAATAATTACAAGGGCTATCGGTGTTTAGACATTGCCTCCGGTAAGGTTTATATTTCCCTCCATGTTCAATTTGATCAATCCACTTTTCCATCAAAGCTGCATCTTCTCATAGTATGCAGCCACAACAACCATTTGTTATGGATCCCACTACCATGCCTAGTCTTGCTCCCCACAGCTAAGCACAACAGCTCCCACAAGCTACAACTTTTTCTTATGATTTAAAGGCCACTCCTAATCTGAATTTCTGGCCCCGCCACTGATACAATGGATACAGTCAAGTGTTGAGGGGTGAACTACTTAAATCCCAAGTCCATTTGATTTCAATTTTGATTTTCCAAGCCCACCAAGAGCCAATTTTCGTAAGATTGTTAACCTACAAATTTTGAGCGTTAACAACACTTAGATAAATCACGTAAAAAGAGTTTTAAGGCTAGTTTAGGGTTGTGGAGCTCTTAAAAACAACAGCTTACTAAAAAAATCTGGAATATCAAATTTGTATGGTAAAAGAAAAAATAGAAAACTTCATTTTAATCCTTGGCAAAGATGACTTTTTGATTAAAACCATGAGTAAAGATCAAAATCTAATTTTAGTCCCTTGATACATTAATAACCTCATTTATTAATTATATTTTGATTTTTTAATTATTTATCTTTTTCTTTCTAATTTTTAATGTATTAATTTTATTTCATTATAATTTTTATTTTCATTTCATTCATTGTAATATATTTTGTTGTGAACATTTAGATAAACTAATTTTTGTTATACAATATATTTTGATGTACTTTATCTTCTTCATTTAGGTATATTAAATTCATTATAATACATTTCGGTGCATACATTTAGGTACACACATTTCGGTACATACATTTCGATACAAACATTTAGGTACATTAATTCAATATAATACATTTTCAGTACTAACATTTCAGTGCATACATTTCGGTACATACATTTAGGTACATTAATTTAATATTAATACATTTCGGTGCATATATTTAGGTACATACATTTCGGTACTAACATTTAAATATATTAGTCAATATAATATATTTCAGTACTAACATTTAGGTACATTAATTGAGTCTTTCAAGTTTGAAGAATGTTAAATAAAATTAATAAATTAAAAAACTCTTTTTTGGTCAAAAACTAAATTAAAATTTGTGTATTAATAAATTTAAATATTTAATGGGAGACATTAAATAAAATGCGCATTAATTATTTTGAATTAAGGGCACAATAGGGACTAAAATCAATATTTAATCTAACACAAGGTTTTTTTTAAATTTTAATTTTCTTGAGGGATTAAAGTTCAAAAACCCCAAGAAAAAACATGTTTTTTTTTAAACTAATAAAAACGCATAGAAAATTAACCAAACATAGGGTCTACCATTCTTCTAATAAAAGTGATTTTTTTTTAAGTATAGTGAACAATGTCCCATGTAATGAAATCTTCAAATAACAGGTATACCCCTGCATATTTTAATAAATTACAATCTTTCTCTTTGGTAATTATTATATCACATTAAATAACATACCATTTTTAGTCATTTAATATATTCACAACAATTTTATATCAAATTTTACCAAACACTCAACAACTTTATTTTACAGCCCTTTATTTTCACACCACAGCAAAAACAATTTTTTTTTTTAAAAAACACAACAATATCAAACTAGCCCTTACACAGCATTATATTAGTAGTTTGGAGCATTATAATGTCAAACTCGTTCCATAAAAGTCTTTCATATATTCTAGCTATTCTCTTTAACATATCATAAATCATCACAAGTTTCTCAAGTCTTGAATAAGTTTGTCCACGATTGAGTTCCACCCGCATTGGGTTAAAAACCTTCCCACAACATTGTGAGCCAGGACCTCTTCTTGGGGGGCCCACTCCACTATAAATCCCCTCTCCTTTGTACCCATCTCCAGCTCAGTCGGAATCACGTGCTCTCCTTGCTCCCCCGTAAGCATATCTAACCGCACCACCCATATAAATTGTTTCCCGCAACTGACCAAGCCGTGCCAAAATTCAAAAAATTGGTCATGTGTTAGCTTCACCAAGCTGCCAAAGCTAACATATATAACAGATCCCACTTGTTTGTAGTCCAGCCACGTCATGCAACGGCGGTCTTCTTGGCACAAAGGGGCAGAGGATGACAGGACATCGCCAACGCGAGATTTGACAAGGGCGTGGACAGGGCCTATTGCGTAAACTTTGGGGATAAGTGTGGCTATGTGGGAGAGAATTGAGGCTTCAAGGCCGTCGAAGGTGTCGATTATTAAAGAAGAAGCACGAGCAATAGCTTTGGTCTCTTCCATGAAAAATTTAGTAATTGAGCGGTCAATTGGATATCTGCAAAAGCTTGGTAGGTCTCGGCCCTGTAAAAGGCCTTCCATCCTCGAAATATCGCTAATCTGCTTATCCATGTCATCATCTGTTTCAAAGTTAGAAGTAGATTTTGCATGACTAGTCATGGTAAAAATATGAAATAGACTTCATTTCAAAAAATTACTTGGAAGAATTGTACCACGTAGTATACGTGAGACCTATTTATATTGGCGGTATAGAAAAATGCTACTAGTGACGACAAAATAAATTCATTTGATGCATCTAGATGTTTGAATCACTAGTACAAAAACATATTTGTGTGACGACAACTTGTGCGACGGAGCAAATTAAGTTGCACAGGGTCATTTGAGCAATGGTGACAACAAAACGTCACACAAGGACATTTTGCGCGGCGAAGGTGTACATTCATTGCGCAAAATAGTTTTTCGCGTCAAAGGTATACCTTCATCACACAAAACTGTTTTGTGCAATGAAGACATACCTCCGCCATGCAAAGTCAACGGCTTTTCCACATAACTTAAAAAAATATATATTATTAGGTCACTCAAGTGGGCATTACATTGGGGTATGCTGCTCAAGCAGTGGTTTTCTTCCGCTTAAGTGGAAAGTAGTATGTGTTCTGTTGCTCAAGTGGCCACGTAGTCCGCTCAAGCGGAAAGTAGTATGTGTTCTGTTTTTTTTTTAATATAACTTGCGTGACATAACAATGGGGTCGTGCGCAAACATACTTTGCGCAATGCACCAACCAATGCGTTACGCAAAGACTATTTGCGCAACGCACCAACCATTGCGTCACGCAAAGGGTGTTTCCGCAACGAACAAACTGCATCGCGCAAAGGGTTTTTGTGGTCCACTTGTGTAAATACTTTAAATTGACGATCAAATTAGTTCATTGAATTCATATAGGATGAAGGAGTGTAGCTGTAAAAAAAAATCATCAAAATCGGAGTTAAAATAACCATTAAATTGTGTACTTGATCTCTAAATGTTTGTTTTTTTGCGATTTTTTGCATATGCAATCTCGAAGTTTATACAAACAAGTTTGACGGTTCGATCGTTGAAATTAGTTTCGTAGAATGCGTATCCCATCAAAACAATAGATTCACTAACTCTTAGGGTTTATTTATACTTTCATTAAGTATAACATAAGATTTTGTGGTATTCACTAGTGTCAATATTTTAAACTGAAGATCGAATTCATTCATTGTATTCATATAGGATCAAGGAGTGTAGCTATAAAAAATCATCAAAATCGAAGTTAAAATAACCGTTAAATCATGATTTTTTGTTTATAACCGTCGAAAAGTTTTGTCCCGTTACTTGATATCTGAATGTTTGTTTTTTGCAATTTTTTGTATATGCGATCTCGAAGCATATACAAACAAGTTTGCCGGTTGGATCGTTGAAATTAGTTTCGTAGGATGTGTATCCCATCAAAACGATAGATTCACTAACTCTTAGAGTTTATTTATACTTTCATTAAGTATAACATAAGATTTTATGGTATCCACTGGTGTAAATATTTTAAATTGAAGATCGAATTCATTTATTGTATTCATATAGGATCAAGCAGTGTAGCTATAAAAAAATATCAAAATCGGAGTTAAAATAACCGTTAAATCGTAATTTTTCGTTTATAACCGTCGAAAGGTTTTGTCCCGTTACTTGATCTCTAAATTTTATTTTATTTTTGCGATTTATAGTGTATGCGATCTTGAAGTATATACAAACAAGTTTGACGGTTGTATCGTTGAATGCATATCCTATCAAGTTCAATGGTACTGAGATTTGTCTGTGTTTCAGCAGTGCCAAAGATCGTGGGGCTTTCACCTTCAATTTCACTTTCGAACAGCGCATTGAAGCACTTCAATGAGATGAGATATGAACGCAGTGAAGACTTACGCTTGACATTGTTGTGTTGAGTCCTGTTGATTTTGAAATTTCTTTGTTATTCTCTTGCAGATCGAGTTTTGCATTTTTTTTTTCCAGAAAGAATCAAGGCCAGCCTTAACATTGCATCTGAAACTCAGAACATGCAAGGTATATATGTCCAGATTTGAGATCCTTTCTTTTGCTTCAGTTTTTTTTTATTATTATTTATTAAATTTTACAGAAGCCTTTTTTGTTTGTGTTTTTGTCTACTTCATTTTTTATTTATTGTTTATGAGCTGAATATGCTCCAACTAAATGAAGAATGTAAATTTGGATTTCCAAATGGGTGATAGAAATTTGGCCCCTGATTTCTCTTCGACGATTCCTGTAAATGTGAACTGTAATCCTATAGTTTGAAAGGTGCTGTCATTGTTTTTTAATTCGTGTTTTTATATTTTTACTTTACCTTTTGCCTTTTTAATCTTTGATTAAGAAATTGAGATTTGCCCATTTGAAATTTTCTGGTAAAAAATTAGGGTTGAGGAAATTTTGGAGAGGTGGGTCACATTGTAGGAGTTTGTGTAATTGGTATTTACAGGTGGAATAAGGTGATGAAAGGTAAGTATTTCAAAATGAAAAGAAAAGAGATCACATGGATTGTGTGAGGTTCTCCAATTATTTGGTGATCTTAGGTTCTCCAATTATTTGAACCGAACCATAAGGTAATCATGTTGTAATTAGTGACTAGAATTGTTTTGCTTCTGTCATCAAATTATGTAGCGGTAGCCAAATATAAACATTTGAAATAGCATTGCCTAAAAGAGCGGTTTTAATCCGAACTCAATTCTTTTTTGGGGACATATTGTAGGTTGATTCACATTCTGACATGTAATATAGTTGTCGTGTTAGGGCTAATCGTGGAGATTCTGTAGACACTACAATTGTTGTTGTAAAGAGTCCCTATATGTTGCTTAAAGGCTGGTATCGACTGATTCATGATCTGATTACTCGAGAAGGTCCATTTCTTGAAATAGCTTGCATCCCTATTGCTGATTGACAATCCTTCTGTGGCCAATTATGGTTGTTGCAAGTATCGTATTGACAGTTTTCATGAGCATTTTAATCAGATTGTATGCATCGGTTGTAGTATATCAGGTTTGCTTACACCAGACTAAAATCATTGTAATCTCCTTGGCCTTTCATGAGTAAAATTATACAATTTTTAACCATGTGGGAATGCATGAAAGGTGTGGCGTACATGATTGCAATGGTGGCTGATGAGTACACGAATGACTGGCTATATCTTGGAGAGGGAACAATCTTTCCAAAGTTAATGACTTTCTTGCTTATGAAATATTGTTCCTTGAGCTCATTATTTTGAATACACTTCCATTTCAATTAATCAGTAACTTTTATTCTTGACAGCTTCAATCCTCTTGATCCCCACGTATTGCTTGAATTCTATGGATCCCCATCTGATCGCAATGTTGATCTCCTCGGCAATGTATGCCTGTCCACCTGCTTTCTTTATGTATTTTCGACATTCAACATCAAATGCTCTTCTATTATTTCTACTAATCTGCAGGTTTATTGGGATATTTGTGCAGGTTATTCAGTCATGGTGTGTCATGGTACGCTTGGGTGCCTATATTGTTAGCTGAGTAATTTTGCCGAATTGGTGATCTTAAAATACGTACAGGCAGTAATTGGGTAATTATTGTATACAAAAGAATTTCATAGAAAGTCAACATCCTTAAGCGTATTTCAAATATGAAGGTATGATAGGAGTGGTGAGTAGAATTATTCAATTTAATATGCTAGACTATGTTTGGACTATAGAGTTAAATTTCCTAACGCGAGAGGCAATCTTTTTGTGTTATAAAACATATGCAGAATATTTGTGCTTCTTCATATTCTCATTGAGCTTTAATCAATCTTCTTAGTAATAGTTGTTATGTGTAAAAAGATTGAAATATGCTAATATAGCATAGTATTAATGGCAGCTGGCAAGGGTATGATAAGTGATTTTTGTCTTTCATGTTACTAAGATTTCGATTAAATTGCTTATTGAATTATTTTGCAATTATTGTAATTAAATTGTGGGGAATTGACCTTTCTATTCTCCAAAGTCTTTGTTAGAAATTATATTTAATTTAATTTTGTGATTTTTTTTTTTTTTTGTCCATCTAACATAGTTTTGTGGTTGAAGTTTGTGTTGGGAAAGGAGAGATTTTTTAAATTCTATTTTTATTTGTATATATTTGTGTTAAATTTTTGGGTTATGTGTGTGAATAATATTCGGTTGAATGAGAAATTGATGTGTTTTAATTTTTGTTTTTTTTTGTTTTGTAGGGTTTTAGCTAACGGGCAACCGGTTGCAAGGTAGAAGAAGAGGAAGTGAGGTGTACGAATGAGCTAGAGAGGAAGGTGCACGCGCTTCAAATCGAGGCAACCGCCCTCTCAGCACAAGTCACTCTATTACAGGTATAATACCGGTTATTGATTGTTTTTCTTTCTTCATTAATTGGAATCAAATTGTGGTTTACGATATTCTATCAATGGAAAAGTGAATCACACGCCCAAGCTTCTGTCAGTTCTGGAGATCTCAGTACGTATCTAAAATTTGCATAACACTGGTGAAAAAATGTACTTAACGATTTACGTTCATATGCATAGGCTTGACTTCTAAAGATGCATCCTGCAAAGGTATGGTTCATAAGTCTACAATGTCTGAAAATGTAACCTGCAAAGCTATGGTTCATAAGTCTACAATATCGATAAGGATAATACATATATATCACGTAAAAAAGATTAGATCAAACTTAATTATCTTTCATTGAATTATGAGATATATCTAATTCAATCAGCAATTTAAGTTGACCAATACTTTCTCGAAGAGTTCTATTAAACTGGGATGAGACCTAATACTGAACTTCGAGAAAGTTAAAGGTGTCTAAATTTCTGAACTTTCTAAAACGATCATATGTAAAGTGGCCTGAAAGATTATTAAACCCCAATGACAACGACTCTATTCTCTCCGAACTACAAACAGACAAACTCTCAAAGATATCGGATATATCTTCATTTAAATTGTTGTTTGACAGATCAAGATCCTTCAACTTCGTCTCACTAATCCCAATTTTCAGCAGGATTTCCACCTTTCTGATTGGGATTTTTACAACAGTAATACGTGGCTGGGTGGTAAGATAAATCCTTATTTGCTCCATTTGAAGCATCTTAACTACTTGGACTT